TTTTTTTTTTTTTTTTTTTTTTTTTGAAATAAATAGATTTTGAATACTAAAAATATGAAAGGAAATTTAAACTGGCTCCTGAAGGCTGCAGAAAACCAAGAAATTGCCACACCCAATGAAATAAAAGTATGGTTTAGAATTTTGAAGAGTGGAATGAACTACAAGTCATTGTTGAAAAAAAATGAAATGTTGTGAAATGTTGTACAATAGTTTCCTTTTGACATTAATGGGAATATTCAAGTTTTCTTAACTCATTATGTGCTACTTGACCCGAAGGAACGGCAAATTTTCCATGAAATAATTGGTCGTGCCAAAGAAAATAAAAAGTATTTGGATTTGTTGGAACCCTTTGCAAAGCTCAAATGGGTGGTCAACTTGGTGTGATTCATACACCAAAGTAATAGGGTGTTGCCGAAACTGCTTTTCTCACTAATTTGGCCATCTGTTGTTCTCTCAAGCCAAATCTCCTACTTTGATCCTGGTTTTGTTTGTACATACAGAAAAAAAAAAATCAAAAAATGGAGGAAGATCTTTGGAATAATTGGAGTCTAAATTTCAGAAATTAATCGATGATTAGAAAGTATGGTTGGGATTGGTCTAAGCATTGATATAGGTTGGTAAGGAATAATTTAGGTGAGAGGCTGTGTGTACATTTATTTCTTATTTACAGGATGATACATGGTATAACACGTGCTTTTTTTTTTATAAAAAAAAAAAAAAAAAGATTGGGATCAGCTATTCAATCATAAGTGTTGTTTTGCAGCGCCCCTATAATTATTGAAACAATTACTTAAATCAAGAAATGCATTAAAAAAAAAGGAAGACTTTTCTCCAAATTATCACATCAAGCTTTTGTAACTAATCACCAATCAAATTAACTATATCTTTTCCAGTATTAAATCAATTAACCCCATAAATTATAGAAAAATTAGACACTGCAGCCCTTTTTATTTCCCGCTTCTAATATGTAGGGAGAAAGGTGACCTCTTTATATTTTGTCTGTATTCATCAACACATGTAATTGATCAGAATGAAAACTTTTAGTTTTATTAAAGCCATGAATCCTGCTTTTGGACATAAAAGCATGTCAATATCTTTGGCCCAACTCAAGTATATTTAAAATTCTTCTTTCTCCTACTTGTAGACAAGACTTGCTCGTTTTCTACAGAAGCTAATTAAACATAAAAATAAAAATAAAATAATGAGTAAATACAAAAAGCCCCTCCCTATCATGGAACCACGAACCTTTTTTAAAAAATTTAAAGTCTTTGAGATGCCACAACTTTTTCTCTGAATTGTTTTGTTCTTTCTTTTGTCCTCTTTTCAACCATATGCCATAATCCTTCCAAAACCACAAGCAGACACCACTCAGTCCAACAGCCACCCTTTTCCAACTGTAACATTTTAACCTAATCCTTTGAATCATTCTTGAATAATTTTTTTTTTCACTATTTTTTTAATATTTTTAATCATTTAAATCCCATTACTTTTCTACTCCTATAAATTACAACAAACAACAACACCACGCTACACACACAACACTCATCTTTTTGCCCATATCACTACTTTTCCCATTTTTTTTTGTTTCCTCTTAAAAAAAAAAAAAGTTAGCTAGCACTTACCAACACCAAAAATATGGCCACTCTCTCTGAGGCCTACAGAGACAATCCTCTCCTCCCCCACCACATCATCCCTCTAGACTTCTGGTCGGCCCGGTCGCTGCCGGAGTCTCACGTCTGGACTCAGCCCGAAAGCTTCTCCTCTGGCGAGTTTTCCGGCGAATGGTTTTCCCTTCCAGTGGTTGACCTAACGGATCCGGATGCACCGGAGCTCATGGGCCGGGCCTGCCAATCGTGGGGCGCGTTCCAATTGACGGGCCACGGCATTCCGGTGAAGCTCAAAGAGGAGGTGGAGGCGGAGGCCCGGAGATTGTTCGGGCTTCCGACCGAGCAGAAACTGAAGGCCCTGAGGTCCCCCGGTGGCGCCACCGGATACGGTGCCGCTAGGATATCGCCGTTCTTTCAGAAGTACATGTGGCATGAAGGGTTCACCATCATGGGGTCTCCGGAGGATCATGCTAGGGAACTCTGGCCCCATGGCTATCAACGATTTTGGTAGGTAACCCCCATGCAATTCCATGCACGTAGGCATAATAATTAATGATAACAAAAGTTAATTATAATATTATGGATTACGCTAGCTAGCTAGCTTGTTTACTAATCCATTAAGATTTATTACCTTTAATTTAAAAATTATTCGTTTTAGCTTTATATTTATATGCCATAAATCAATCATTGCATGCGTACTAAAGGGTTTTGTTAGCATGAATACTTATATTGTTATTAATTTTTATTCCATATGTTCACCAAAACGACGAGATCAAACGAAGCATGCGGCCATACTCATCAATCTAATCCAGTTTTCGTTTCTCACCTATACCCGTATATGGATATATGCATCTCTTTTTAGAAGATATATATGCGTCATATATAGTGTATTTTACCCTAAGTGTAAATAAATTAATAAATATAATTTCCTATGATGGTTTATTATTTTAGCAAAATATATGTAGGAATTTAAGTAAGTGGCATGACGGCATCCATATATGTGTACCATCAGCCATCGTGTTTTATATAATAATTAATATATAATGTGTATAATTGTATACGACATTTTCAGACGTTTATGAATTATATGAGTTATATATACACAGAGAAATATTGTTTGAAATTTCTCTTGCATATATAGGCTCATTTTCTCTATAAACAATTTGTACAAGAATTACTTCCCTATTAATTACATATATAATAGTAGTACTCGTATGGTTCAATTCCATTCTACTGATCAAGATCTCATAATTACTGCAGCGAAGTGATGGAAACTTATCAAAAACAAATGAAGACTCTAGCCGAAAAACTACTCCCAACCATTCTAAAGTCTTTAAACATCCATAACCAAGAACAACAAGTACTACTCAACTGGTTGAGTACAAACACCTCATCATCTTCAACATCAAAGTCCAAAGAGAATACGATCACCAGTACTACTCCCTGCACCGCCCTGCAGCTGAACTCGTACCCGTCGTGCCCCGACCCGAACCGGGCGATGGGGCTCGCCCCACACACCGACACCTTCCTCCTCACCATCCTCCACCAGACACAAACCGACGCCGGATTGCAAATCCGCAAGGAATTAGGAGGAGGAGGAGGAGGAGAAACCGCCGCGGTGTGGGTCCCGGTGCGGCCGGTGGCGGGGGCACTGGTGGTGAACGTGGGAGACCTTCTCCACATAATGTCGAACGGGCGGTTCCCGAGCGTTGTGCACCGGGCAGTGGTCAACCAGACCAGACAACGTTTGTCGTTCGCCTACTTCTATGGCCCGCCAACGGATTTTACTGTCTCACCTCTTTTGTCTGATCATAACAACATGATGATCATCAACAAATCTGATCATCATCATAATTTGATGATCAGTAGTAGTACTGCAAGAGGACAACGGCCACTTGATGTACTTCCTCTGTATCGTTCCGTCACCGTTAAAGAGTACGTTGGGATAAAGGCCAAGAATCTCGACAAAGCTCTTTCCTTGATTCGGATAATTTGATCATTATCATAATTGTCTATTAATGTCTTTACCAGCTAGTTTTTAATTTTGACCATATTAGTACGTACTTATCTTGTCTTGTATTAAAGGCGATTGATCGTTGTCTGATCATATAACATGCGGCTCTTAAAAAATTCACTTGTAAATCGTTGATTGGTTAAAGTAACATCATGTAGCTAGCTAGCTAGGAGTTAAGATTTGTTGTGTAAAATTCCTGTCTCATTAATTAATTGTCCCTTAAATACTATTTTGATAACTCATTTAATGTTTTATTATATTTAGTATTTATAGTTATGTGGTCAAATTCTTAAATTTAGACGAGTAGTCAAAATATATTGTAATTAAACAGAAAATTTAAGACAGTGGATCTAGACCCGCTAGCTAACTTTTGGTTGAACGCACATAATTTGATTGTGTATGTTGAATACTATTTTGGAAGGTAGGGCCTAAGTCATCTGCGATGTTTTCTTGTGTCACTAAAATTTGCACGTTTAATCTAAAAGTTTTTATCATATTTTCATTTATTTTCTTATTACAAATACCTTAGTGGAAATTAATATTCGGGATGTGGGAATGTATGTGTATATGCATTATATATATATGTGCATGCTCTAAATTAAAGTAGAAGTCATATTGGTAGGGACAAAGACCATTTTATGATCAATTGATCAATTCTCATACACAAGTTTCGATGCTAAATAAAGGCAAAATTGAATCAATTGTCCTGCTCTTTTTTGTCGTGGTTTCGTCAATTACGTAACTCATAAATATCTTTGCACGGGGCATCATTATAGTAAACACATGATCTTCTAGTTATAAATCTATCGCTATGAAAATATATTTGAAATTTAATCAATGCACTCTTATGATTTTCATTAGCAAATAACGACAATTACTCATGCACGAACTTATATAAATGTTCTTTCATATATATATATACATATATATATATATATATATAATCTAAATATTGTTTTCTATACTAGAGTTTGCTAGTGGCAAGTGTTTTTTTTTTTTTTTTTTTTTGGGGGGGGGCGGTTAAAGAGTGGCAAGTTAATCCTAGTAGAATTACATATTGAAGCGAAAGATATTTTGATAGGGTCAGATAAAGACAAAAGTAGTAGCAATTCATCGTGTTATTGTACTTTACACATGTACCATAGAGTTGTGACCCCGACTAAAATTTCTCACCTTATGGAACCCGAGTCAACCACGCAGCGTTACTCAATCATGTACACGGAACAAAAACATGTTTTAATAAATAAAAATAAACATGTTTTAATCAATTTTTTATTTTTATTTTTTAGCTCAACAAAATAATATCTCGCTCACCCTTTTTTGCCAATATAATAAGAACCTTCCTACTTCAATGATATGTTTTTATTTATTTATTTATTTATTTTTATACAACCGTATGGCTATAGCTTATCGTTTTCCAATATATAATCACATGACACACACAAGTAGGCCTTCAGATAGAGGTGGTGTATGTACCTCACCAATCTCATAGTATTTGAATCTTTCATTTTTCAGGGAAAAAAGCTTGCATTTTTCAGGGAAAAAAACTTGCATTTTTCAGGGAAAAAAACTTGCATATTTTAGGGAAAAAAGAAAAATTCTTGCTGCAAGTCCTTTGATATGTTGCAAGGGAAAG